ATTATTAAAGTAGTTTAGTACAAAACTGAGGGAGCAGCATAGTTTGGACATCAAAAGCCACAGAAATAGAAGCCTAGCCAAGAAGTGATGGGTGCGAAGTGGCTAAATGCAAAATTGCCAAAGTATTACAAGCCAGTGGGGCTGACTAAGAACTATGAGGCCGAGTAAAGAGCCTATCAGACAAATATAGGGCAGACCGTTTTGTAGAGAAAAACGAGATGTAATGAAGAGGGCATAGGATATACGAAAGAAACCTATTATAGTAAATATCAGGGAGCCCGAGGCCTCAAGAATGCAAAAAATACACCACATAAGTCACTTTAGCAACTATCATCTCAGGACAGGATATCAAAAGCCTTAAATATGCCTGCATAGTTATGTGCATCTTTCTTTTAGACGAAGTAGCACGGATGCAGGCCAACATCACAGGATGGCTGAATCATCTGCTAGTCCAACGTAAACATGTAGTTAGCGTAAAGAGGACTGCAAAAACCAATCGACGTAGGATACATAATCAGGTGCTTATGCGCATCCATTGCTCAGTTTGTGCTGATGTCATCACGTATGTTGGCAGATGATTCACAGAACATGGCCAAATACCCAACGTAGACTTAAGATCACCATGTGGAGAAATATACACATAGCTTGACCAGATGGACAAATCAACTGGTGCATTAATGCAGAGGGTGCGAAGCAGAAATGAAAGGGGTAAAATGCCCAGTGTAGCATTAATTCATCCAATAGTACGTACAGTAATGATTAGGGCTGTGAAATGAAAGAAGCACACTGGACCAGACTAATGCTAAGACAGAGCCACAGGCGGTCACCTAAAGCAGAGGCTTGAATAAGACTAGGTCTATAAATTCCACAAGCACGAGCCATCACACATGGCAGAAAGTTAAAGAAAGAAGGTTAAAGGAAGAGCACATTTATTCACAAACAAAGTAGGAAATATCAGTGATGGTTATACCTTGTTTTCCCAACTTGGTCGGAGCGTCAGGGAGACCTTATGGAACGTACCTATCGCGTGTCCTTTGCCATAGTATTCGTGATTTCCATCATTGGACAATTGGCCGGGTACATTCTCAAACATTTCGCCGGCATCGTCAGAGGCCAATGGTCCAATGCTGGAAATCACGAATATTATAGCAGAGGACACGCGACTAGGTACATTCCACAAGGTCTCTCTGACGCTCCAACCAAGTTAAGAAAAAAAGGTCGAACCAACACTCTAAGGCTAAAGGAGACTGCGACAGAACAAAAAGCCACACGATTAATATTCCTATATAATATTAGTGATGTTCACTTGATAAAATATCTTATAACTAATAAATCGGCCTCAACCCATTTGCCATATTGATAATGGGTTAAAATCGAGTAGCTCAAAGGGACTTAAAGCTTAAAAGAACTCATTTATCTAAAATTTGAACTAGCTAAAAAGCATGTTCTAAATATATCATTATCATCTCTAATACTACTCTTGATTGCTTTGATAGTCTGTAAACCGTTAGCATTTGTAGTTTGAAGGTTAGCGAATTTGTTCAGATAGACAGCAGACTGATGAATTATGTCGAAATAAAGTGAATACTGGTGGATATATTCGAAAAGAATCGATTTAGACAACGGATTAAGAGTAAAGCAACTTACTTGAATGCCAAAGTAGTGCCCTCCGAAGAGATTCGTGTGACGGAGGAATATTCATCCTGAAGGCCTGTTACGCCTAGACTAAGTACGTGGTCAACGAGTTGATCCGATGTATGCCAACAATCCTTAAATGAATCAGGCGTCAAATAGCATGGCGGCTCATCTTCAATGAGTTCATCATCATCTTCGTCATCCTCACTTTCGTCATCCTCTTCTGCCACCTCCAGATCTTCTTGATCGTCAATCTCGTCCAAATTTACCGCAACAGTGGTGGTGAGGTGTCCCTTGTCAATAGTTTTTTCTGATTCCTTTCTTAATGAAGAAACTGACGCCATATTCGAACTGATTTTTTCTTGGATTTGATCGACGGAAACTAGCTTGGTTGGTCCCGATTTTAAAAGCCATTCGTGCAGCATATCTGAGGCTAAAATGACGGGCGATGCCTTGTCATCGTCAGTACATACGCCACTGGAGGTGGTGTCGAAATTACTGAAGGCAGTAGGAGAATAGTTATCGGACACATCATTTATGCTAGCATTAATAATCTTGTCATTTGTTGATGGAGAATCTCGTGGTGAAGGCGATGAGGCGGAAGCAGGAAGGACCGCATTCAAAGATAACTGGACTTCTTGATGGGCTGGTGACGTAAATCCGGTAATGGGAACGGCATCAGCAGGATCCGAATCATGTAATGAGGAAGCAGATGAGGAGAAGCCTTGCTGGCGAAGTAAAGAAATGCGTTGTCTAGCAGTAGGGGTCCCTTCGCCTTCATCAGCCTCGTCTTCCGCAAAAAATGTTGATTGGCCGGCTTGAGTGGATAATGAAGTTGGATGGGGCTCGATACTAAAGAGAGAGTGGTCGGGCACCTGGTGGATGGAAGGTCCTAGTGGTCTGGGAAGTATAAAACCTGAAAGTCCAAATGTGGTAATTATAATATGTTAAGCCAAAAGATCACGATCAGGGGATTATAGGCTAATGTGAAATAAGACTGTCCCTAGAATGGTAATATCCAGGCAAGTGGAATTAAACAATACATTGTAACCCATCTGAAAAAATATATTCGCTTTAAATAAATGTATATATGTTCATGTTGATAATGAGAAAGACATAATAACTTTGAAGAAATCTTCCTGAAAATATATTGGTGAGAAATAGATAAGATCCTTCAGGATAGAAACTATGAAATGCATTCACCCAACTTCGTCTAAACTGATAGAGCCATTGGTTGAATGTTCCCATAATTAAATGAATAAGCCTCACGTTTCCATTGAATTTGCTAACCAAAAGGCATTTTAATCCAGGATAACCACAAACAGTGGGACTCGAACCCGAGTAGTGCAGCGTAGTCTTAACACGTTAACAACTAACCACATTGTCATAAATGCCCTTGGATCACACGGCAGAAGTGAATTTCAAGGAAGCCTAAAAGTTCCCATATCACATTAATGTGGTAGGATTGTCGATTAAGCAAAGTGGAATGTGCTAGAACAGTCTATAACATTGCATAGTTTCATTTTTATACATAAATATCGAGATCACCGGATTATACACATAATATTGTATAGCAACATCTGCCTTGTGACCCAAGGGGACTCGTGGCAGTGTGGCGTAGTGGTTAGCGTGTCGAGATTACATGCTGCATTGTAATAGTTCGAGTCCCGCTGGAGGTGTTGACAAGGCCTAGGCAAAGTCTAAACTGCAGTCCACTCTGGATGAGAATAACTGTTGGGAAAGAAAAGCTATATAAAATTCAATTAAAACATCATGACTATTCATATCATTGTGGAAAAGTTCAACTATCAGTCCTCTTATTATCTTTAACGAAACAAGAAGAATGGATCTTATAAATACAACTTTGATTAACCAATAATCCTATCAGGAAAATGTGATATGGCTTCCTTGAAATTGATTTCTGCACTGTGACCCAAAAGGAAGAGTTGTACCTTGGAGCAGATAATGGAAAGACTCCCTGAGGATGCCGACGAAGAGGCCAGCGAAACGTCCACGGTCCAATGCTGGAAATTAACACAACTACTACAATGAAGGACTTCGGACAATGTGCATCTAACAAGGCCGCCCTGAAAACACGACTAAGTTGAGAAAACAAGATCAGACCACTTCTATACATCGAAAGGAGACTGCGACCAAAATAGAGGCAACGACATTTTTGCATA